TGCAGTTCGCTTGAGGACTGGAGACTAGACACGCTGAGCGCAGGCCCAGTAGCAAGGAAGCCTACTTGCAGGCTCTGTGTCATCCAAGCTGCAGCTGCCCAGAAGCCTGCTTGCAGTCCCTGCAGCCGCAAGCTGCAGGCTGCCAAGAAGGCCCCCTCTTGGCCAGTCCCTGCAAATTGCACAAACGTTCTCCAAAAAGTGCTTTCTGGGATTGTGGGTTCTGCTTGGCCCCTTTTCAGCTCCGCGGAACACGTTTCGCTGCGCAACTGCCTGGCGCGCCTGTGAGGCTGCAGGCCCAGCAGCGCCAGCCTTCGTCCTTAATGGTCTGTGTGTGATAGTGAAAACCGGCCGCTGCGCGGGGCAGTTAAGTTTCATGGATCTTAAACTGCGTCATTTGCATAACACGGACCCTGCCGGTCGAGCAACGCAGCGAGGTTTCTGCCCTCATAGCACGCATCTGCGTGCTGTGTGGGCTGTCCTGCTACTGTATGGCAAAACGAGTCTTTGGTCTCAACTCTCTGTGCATTCACACAGTGAAAACCGGCCGCTGCGCGGGGCAGTTAAGTTACATGGATCTTAAACTGCGTCACTTGGATGACACGGACCCTGCAGGTCGAGCAACGCAGCGAGGTTTCTGCCTTCATAGCACGCATCCGCGTGCTGTGAGGGCTGTCCTGCTACTGTGTGGCAAAACAAGTCTTTGGTCTCAACTCTCTGTGCATTCACACAGTTGTCAACCTAACTGCCAGAAGGTGTACTGAGTGCTATGCTACTGCTACGGCCCTGGCGCTTGTGTGGGGACTGTCCCTACGGACGCGTTGGGCAGTTTAGGTGACGGAGGTTCCTTGCCTTACGGCCTACCCATACTTTCGCTTAATGTCTGTACCAGACGTGGCGCAGCATTGCTATGGGTGACGGGCAGCTGAGTGATTGGTGCCGGTAGTTTCTTGTTTGTATTGGTCTCACCTTGCTGGCCTTGCGTTAAGTTGTCTTGCAATAAGGGCCTCTGCGCTAGCGGTCGCTTCTTTGTAGTCACGACTTCTTTTACGCTCGCTGGCCTGTACAGTTTGACTCTCAAAGTAGTTGTCTCTGTCGCAATAGACTGGCCCACTGTGCTGCTGATGTGGTAAAGGGGCGTCCGTTTCAAAAAAAACTCTCTTACAAGAATAAATAAAGGCAAGAAACAAAAACAAGAAACGAGGGAGTGGAATTTAGACTAGTTCTCTAATCTCATTCTCTTTTTCTCTCTGATTTTCAAGAAAAATGAAAACAAGAAAAACAAGAAAACAAGGGGGGTGGAATTTAGACTTCTCTCTTCTCTTTTAACTTCTCTACTTTTTCGAATTACAAAAGTTGCTTGCAATCGCTTGGCAGAGTAGTGTGGCAGCTTGCAGCTGAGAAAGATGAAGGACGCGAAGGTCCGATGCCTTGGTTCAGCTTTTCAAGTGCGTTAATGAGCTGTGCTTAGCGTCCATCGTGGTAATTGTTTCTATCCTGGGGCGCATTAAGAGCAGTTGTGCATTCTGCATTGAACCCAGGTTTGAACAACTTTTTTCCAGCGAGCCCAGGTAGGTTTAAACAGGTTCCAATCTGGGTTCGAACCTGGGTTGAACTCTGGGTTTAACCCAGGTTCGAACTCAGGTTGGAACCTGGGTTCCAACCCAGGTTTGAACCCAGGTTGGAACCTAGGTTCCAACCCAGGTTTGAATCTGGATTCAAAATCAGAGGAGTGGAGGATTGATTTAATTCCACCTTCTCTCGACAAAAAAGAGAATGAGAGCAGAGAACTAGTTTAAATTCCACCCAACTCGTTTCTTTGTTTTGTTTCTTATCTTCATTTGTTCTTGTGCGACCTTGGGACGCAGGTGGATCGCAAACTTTTGTTTCTACTGCTCAACACGTGAGTCTTTGCCGACGTGAGGTACCTTTTTGCCATGGAAGCACCTTCCAGATTTTCAAACGTGGCATCTAGCGTTCCAGTGTTGTTGCTGGTTGACGCATCTAACTTGTGGCACCTGTTGCAGGATTCACTTGATACTTTCACGGCAGAAAGCTGGCTGTGCTGGCACCGAAAAGGGTAAGGTCGTGCAGGCTCGGGTCGATGATGACAAGGATTCTTTCGGGTTTGGCTTTGAGGGTTTAAGGGTTTAAGGGTGAAGAGTTCAGGGTTTAAGCGTTTAAGGGTTTTTAGGGGCCAAAGGTGAAGGGCTGAGGGTCCGGGATACAAATCCGAATGCGCTAGGGAATATGCGCACTGCGCTGCCCGTTGTGCCTACGATATACAAGAAATCTTTTTCAGTCTTGGAAGTATATAAACACCTTAGAACAAAACGGAAGATATTGCCAATACATTGATTAGCCGTCGAAAACCCTGTTCCCATTCAATTGGCGAATCACTCAGCAGTCAACAAGTGGCAGCTCTCTGCTTCCGCAATCACATGATTTCCAACGGCGCATCCGTGCTGTTGCCGAAGGCGAGGTCTTCCATGCAATGAATTAAAGAAGTCAATTCTGACTCCTTAACACGTCAGCTTCAAAAATCCTAAGCCTGCTCTCCCCAGCATCTCCATATGCATAGCGGGAAACGACAGCATCATCTTAGCACAGGGTGCTGGACAGCTCCTCCAGCTTCTCCTATCTTCTTTCTTTTCTGCCGCAACCCTACCAAGTACATTGCGCCAGGTGTATGACACCTTTTGGAATGGTTGCACGAAGTCTTTAGAGACTTTTCGAGTCATGCCAGACTTGCAGCCAAGGATAAGCATGCCACCATCTCGTACATCACCTCCACGACCATTAAACACTTTGTATACAGGCAGGGCACTGTTAACATTCAAGAACTTCCTTCCACATCCAATCGCTTTTGCCCATTAGTGAGAGAGCGCTGCTTATGTTCGCGAAGGACAACGACCTTTTGCCATCATCCACTTTGGGGCCCACTGGGCCCGTGGTATTGACTGATGACGGTGATCCAAGACGTTGTGAGCAAGGAACACTCTTTGCGTTTTCTTGATCAATTGAATGCACTCGTTATCCTTCGCAGAACCTTTGCTCGCGTGCCCCCCCTTTTCCTTCTTGCATGCAACCTTCCAACATGCCTGCAATCTGGAATTGCCCTTTGAGGAATATGAGTTGTGCTTAACTTGCTTGCTGATCGCATGATGCCTTTTTTCGATGGTCTCCCTAGGCAACCATGCAAACTCAAAGAGGCTGTCTTGTGGAATGTCACTTCCCTGCACACCTTTGACTCGGTATGCAGCTAGCTTTCGCCGGTTTAGGCAAGCTACTTCCAATATTAATTCGTTTGCCTCATCTGCGGTTAACAAGGATGGAGCCTTTCAGGTGGCGTCGCTGTCTGCTTGCCGCAAGACTATCAAGTTGTTGAGACTGAAGAATTTTTGCCCGGCTTCGCCTTAGCTGTGCTTGTGCGGTAAAGAGCAGTCAGTTACTGGTTGGTCTCGGTGTACTGGCATCCTGAACATTGGACTAAACTTTTCGGTGCTCTGAATTGCTTCACTGGGGACGTCACACATCCAGGTGGGATTGGTGGCGACTTCAACCTTGTCGAAGAGAAAAAACCTGTTGACTTTGATCAATTGCTGGCACAGGGCGATCTTATCGCGATTCGGTTGCACACCGACAGTTGTTTTAGCAAAAGCGGTGTTGTTAAACCCGCGCTCCAAGTGGACAAGTCGTCGTCACTTGGACATCGCTGTCTGCTATCTTCAGAATCCAAAAGGCTTAGACCCAGATTCTGTGGTGTCCCACCTTGGCGATGTGACAGATTTCATGACAAGTTTAAGTTAGATGACATTCTGTCAACACTCACGAGCGCTGGGAATCCATCCAAGTAAAGATGTGCAGCAGGTATGGCGGATATGTGGTTTTCAAAACCATCGCGGTGAGAAGATGATGTTTGGCAGGTGTATTTGAATGTGGTGCAAGCCGTGTATATAAGTACTGTTCCCCGCAAGTTCTCATGTGCGCACCTCAACTTGTAAGAAAGAAGGAACGCTCACTCTCGGTCCAGAAAGTCAAAGCAGAGCTATGAAGATGGAAGGGTGAATATTTGGATGGTGGAGAGTGGAGTGTATGTTCTTTACTTGGTTAGTCGCTGCAATTGCAATGGTGTCTTTGTGCTGCGCGATGGATTTGGTTGCTTTTTGGTCAACGATGAATTCGGTGTGCGGTTTTGGTTGTGGCGGTTGCTGTTGTGGGTTTTTCCGGTTGGTTTGCATTGATTCTGCCATCGCATGATGGATGCAATTAGTTTCGCATTGGCATGCCTGTTGGAAAAAAGCCTGAACGAGTTGTGCGCGCATGCATTGTGTAGCATGCAGTGCAGGCTTAGAAGGTGCTTCCCCAGTGCTGGGCAAGCACCTGCTTTGTAATCAATTGGTCTTTAAAACCGCCCGGCGACTGCAGGGCTGCGGTTTTATTTTGCGTTGGCTATGAAGCCAAAATTATATGCATCACAACCACTGGCGATCAGGTTGGGTTCTTCCCCTGAGTAGGCACCTTTGGTTGTCTTGTCTTGGATGAGGGGAAGAGCAGCGGGCATGCATCGCATTGCACCTTTTTGTTAAACAGAGGAGATCTTGGAGTTGAGTCTGCTACTTCCGGCAATGACACGAAGGTCCACCCATTAGGAGTACATATGCAATCTCCCTTTTGAATTTTCTTTCAAATTTGCATAGATTCTGTTCTTGCATCATGGACGCAATCATTTTGGCATTAGCGTGCCTGTTTGAAGAAGCCTAAACAAGTAGCAATTGGAAGTAGATAGGTGCGATGTGTGATTGCACACATGCGAACCAATTTGCTTTTTGTTGGTGTTTCTCCGTTGATCGTTTGAGTGCTGCTGGCATTTGAGCTCTTCAAGGGCACCCGAGGCAAGCTTAGCTTGCGTACTGAAGTTGCAAGGCCCATTTGCGGGCTGAGTGTTCAGTATCTTCAAAGCCCGTTTGCATGTGGTTTGCGTTTGCATGGAACAGGTCGAGATGGCCATTGCCCAACCTGCAAGCTTGCATATTTCTAGTCGGGTTTTGCACTCGTTCGATGTTTTCCCTAGTTGGCTATTGGTTTTGTGCTGCCTTTTCATATTGTCGGCAGGGAATTCGTGATTTCCGCTGCCAGGCCGACACCCCATTGCTGCTGCGTTGTGCAGCTGAGTTTATCGGAGTGTTTCTGCCATTCTTCACTGTCGGTGCGCGTCTCAGAATGAATGATCTTGGTTGCAACGCTTCTTCTATCTGATGAGGGTAATGGCGATTTGTTGGCAGCCGTGCACGGTTCTTGTTTTTTTGCTGATGCAACAAGTTCCGTGTGGTTCTAATCGTCGCTTCAATGTTTTGTGCGTGGGTTTGCTGACCATGCATGTTGGCAATGCGTCCATTTGCACGGCCATATGGGATCTTGTCAACGAGTAAGTTGCTTTATCATCGGTTGGACTGCTTGCGCATTTTCCATAGTCCAGCCTGTGTGGCTAAGTGTTCTATGATACGAGTCACACTGTGAGGCTTCAATGTGTTGTCCGGGGCCGCTCTTCTTGGCGGCATCTCCCTAGCTACGACATTGTCCGTCGGGCACGTGTTGAAATCAGACGCGTTTGTTTTCAGTCTGAGCTGCAAGTACAAATTGTCTGATAAATGCAGGCGCTGCTCATCTTGTACGAAGCATGCTTCCTTCCTGTGGCCTGTAACTTGCCGCCAGAACTGTGCTGACCTATGCACTTGCTGGGCTTTCTGGGGCCAACTTTTCGCCGGCTGTCACTCTCGCGACCCGCACTTACTTTGTGACACATTCTCTCACACAACAGCGTGTGCAACAGTAGGAACCCGACGCTTGCAAAAAGAGGCTATATGTGAGCAAGAGACTCGGCGGGCCAGGGGCTTAAGCAGGATCTAAGGACAGGTGATGTAGGACCGTCGGATGCCATAGAATGCAACCGGGTGCTATTTGTTCCGTTGGCTTTTCTCCTCATGTGACAACTAGGCCAGGACTTGATGGCTCTGTTGCCGTGACATATGCCCTGGTTTGGTGCTCGGCACGATCATTTTCGAGGATGCATGACCGGAGCTTGAACACACTTGTTTGTAGCATCACTGAAGAGGTTCAGTTCGTCGGCGGAATTTGCTGCGGATTCTGCTTCGCTCACACCCGAGTCACCAGTCGCATGAAGAAGCGGTCTAGCATCTGTCATACTGCACCGTTGCCAAGGTGAACGTGTTCGCTGATTCTTTCAGGAGCCGCTGAAAATTGCATCGCAGTACAGCTACTGTCGTTGATTGTTTTTGGCAGGCTTGGCCCCGGTGCAGGATTTAGCGCCAACCTTAGTTTCACAACGCAATTTCACAACGCATGACATGCGTGAGACAGCAAGGATTTCTAGTGGCCTTAGGCTGGGTCGATGCCTGCTTCTGCGAACTCATGTATTCTGCACTCTTTTGCTTCGTGGTTCGTGGCTCGGACTTTGTATGTTGTAGGTGCGTGCTGTGACCGCGAGCATGGAGTGCTTTCGTTCAGGTCCTCAACACCACAGCAGCCAAAGCCCACAGCGCAGAAGGGTGGGCATTCGGAATCGCAGCTCGGTTTCACGGTTTCAAACCATCTGCTGAAGTGCAGGAACGAGTTCTACGGCATGGCCATCGGAGCAATGGTTCTTGCGGCTTCATATGCAGCAGGGCCCGTTTCGGGTGGCCTCATTAATCCCGCCATCACAGTGGGTGTGGAACTCGTAGAGCTCCCGTGCACCTTGTTGAGTTTGCATGAGCTTGTGGTCGATGTAGGGCCATTTGCCAACTTTTGAGCCTGCGATGCAGCTCTCAGGTGTGGACATTGCAGGAGCAGGCACGCTGCAAGCTGTTTGCTGCCGCTTTTGGGTTAATCTCCGTCTGGCAGGCGTCGGGTTCGGAAAGTCGTTGTTGTATGCCGTCTTCCAGTTGTCCGTAACTTACTTGTCGACACAAACATATTGCTATTCCATATCCTCAATGTGCTTCAGAGATCAAGGCTGGGAGCAGGCATTGCTGCGCTCTTGTTCAAGGTCGCAGCTCGGATGCATCAGTGATGTCAGCATGTCTGGTACAGAAAGAAGTGCTGCTTGGTACTTTTTGTTGTCGAGCTATCGTGTTTGTTCTTGAGCTGATGCAGGGCATTGCTCCAAGGTCCGGCCGATGGATTTCGATGAGCCAGAGACACCAAAGACGAGGCACACGTGGCCATTCCAAGATTCACCAGAGCTTCTGTTTTTGTCAGGCTGATCAGCGAGATCATTGGAACATTTGCTTTGGTACGCCTGGCCCTTCCACTGAATACGTTTGGCAAGAGTACGTTTTGGTAAGGTGGTAACCGTTGGCCTGTCGGCGTTGGCAAAGACTTCGATGGCTGTTGTCGCTATTGGCGGGCCAGCCTGGCATGTAAGTCGGTCGAGCTACTCGGTCACTCATGCGACTGCATGCGCATGCCAGGTGCTTGACAAGCATGGTTTATGCACTGGGAGATGTGTTCAAATCCTAGTCTATTTTTCAATGCAGTGCTCTTGTCGTTCGTTTGGCCATGTTGTTGTTTGTGAGGTCTGGAGCACACTTCAACCCCGCGGTGCCTGTGACCGTTCTGTTGAATGCACCGTGGCTTTCTTGCCGATGTAACCGGAGTTACTGCCAGGTCACGGTGGCAGTTCTGTTGAGCGGCCACGTCCTCCTGCCAACTTGACAGTTGCATCGCTGGATGGGGAAGGGTAAGACCCTGCCAGGACGCGGACATGAATCCCAAGCGCGCAGCCTGCCCGACTGCTTTGGGATGCCACGCCATTGGCTTGTGTCGTGGGCTTGTCTTTGACCTCCTCTTTGTTGCCAGTTTCACTATATCGGGTCGCAGCTGCTGAGCTGCATTGTGGCCGGATGGCCCGAAACCTACACGCGAACCTGAAACCTACACGGGAACCTGCAAGGAGGTTCTGCAGAGACTGTCTTTGCAGGTGCTTCTGCCTTCTCTACAATGGGAACTCGTTTGTGCTGGGGCCTGGCCAAGGCTTCTGTGCCCGACTTTTCCCACATCTGATTTCACAATTTTGCAAGAGAAGACGCAGTACTTAAAACATTCAAGATTCCAGAATTGATGTGCTTGTTCCTTGGCCACATAGTGGCCGTTGTAGAAGTTTAGATTCATAGTGTGGCAGCAAAAGCTACACTGTGCTGCACCAAAGAAACCTGGAGTGTGCTCGAGTCACTCGCGCAGCCTTGCCTCAGTGAGAGCCGCAAGGTTTCAGCCTGGCAGCGGCAGCTGTTGCAGAGCTGTGGTCTCCCCAGCGCTGAAAATTTCGAAGCGTAGCCTTGACATGCCTTGACGAATTTGAAGCCCTCTCAGGTTCTTCACGACACTTCTGGCATTCGTTGTTCTCGGAGTTGCTGTATCACCCAAAACCAAAAGCTCGCAGCTTTATGGACTGGCCATAGGCCGGGCAGAGCCCACAGCAAGAGCGCAGCTAGCTAGGGCAAGAATCCACACAAGGCTTGCAAGTCGTGGAAGGACTTTGTGTTGTGGTGGGCGGATGCTCAGCTGGGAACATTTCGGGTGCTTGCCTGAATCCAGCAGTGTCCGTGCGGATCTCAAGGATCATGAAGGAACTGATGAGTATATCGGTAACCTGGCATGTTACCTGGCACTAAGATCGGGATTGCGGCCAGCACCGCAGGCCTTGCTAGTGGCAGCCACGGTTTTAGCCGGCTGTGTGGTGCTACTTTGTGGAATGTCGACCTCGCAGGATGGGCTGCCACAAAGACGGCTTTGCGCTACTGCTTTTTTCAGCTCTTGGGAGGCAGGGACATCGAACTGGCAGGGTTTGGGATTGTCTCCACGACGACTGCTAGCCTTCGCGTCGGCCGGCATCGTGGCTCGCACAGGAAGCGTTGCAGGCGGGATTGCGCATCTACTTCACAGCGAGATCATCACTGAGTCCAGCTCAGCTTGTCCATTTGTTCTTGCGGGTGCCAGCTTGTCTCTTTTGAGTTTTGATCGCTCTTTCTTTTTTTTTTCCCTCTCTCTCTCTCTCTCGCTCTTTCTGTTTTTCTCTGTCGCGCTCTCTCTCTCTCTCTCTCTCTCGCTCTCTTTTCTCTCTCTCTCTCTCTCTCTCTGTCTGAGGCGAGTGGACATGGGGAATCTTCCAAGCTCATCTTTGGGCATGCCTGATGCAGTGTACACTGCCGAATCTACCTGGCAGCGTTCAAAAGATTGCACATGTTGATTGTGTTCCAGCTTGAAGCTCGCAGATTCACACACATGTGGCACTTTCATTCATATGCTCTATTTGTGCTTGTGTGCATATCTGTGTGGTCCGAGTGTTGCACAATTTGGTGCGCGTCACACGCCTCGGCCTCGGCCGGCGTGCAAATCCATTTGGTCTTTACAGGCATGGAGCGGTTCCAAGTTCCGCAGAATTGTTTTGAGAGGGCCCATAGCTTGTCAAGGGGGTGGGACATTGGGGGTCGTCAGGCAGTGCTTCGGCATGGCGGCCGTGTTCTGCGATGTTTCTTGAGCGACAGTCCCGGTAGGGGCAAAGGTTCGCACTGGAGCGACAGTCCGGGGTGAGAAAAACCTGGGGACAAGGCTGCATGGGAGGCTCGGGGGAAGCTTGGAGGCAATGAAGATCGAAGCCCAGGCTCCGTGGCTGTCGTTTTATTGTGCGTTGTTTTTTTTTCTCAACTATCCTTCTCAGACAAAACATCATTTATGCCTGTGACTATGTAGAGCTTTATTTTGGGAAGAATGCAAGGCTCAGCCTGGAGTAGGGCTCAGGCCCAGCAAGGTTTTCAATTATTTTGTCATCAAGCTCGGCTGGTTTCTGAGGGGGCCGGCAAGGGACTGGAGGAATGTGCAAAAAAACTTCTGCCGGGGCAAACGCCCTGGAACATCCGAAGCAGTTCGTTTGTTTCTCTGCTGTGTTGTGTGGATTAGCAGCCAAATCACCAGTGCACCAAAGAGGCACAGGGGTGGACCTGGCATCCTTCACCAAAGCACCTGCTTAACGAGAATGCACATATGCAGCTGTGCAGTGTCAGATTGTTCATATATTAATTACCATAACATAGTTAGAGAATGCCAATAAACCTATAATAGAACTACGTCACTTTTGGTTGAACTAACAATGAACGCACTATCAGCAAAATAATAATAATGGAACAATAAAAGTAAGCGAATAACCGACCTTGAATCAATTTTTCGAGAACTGTTTAATGAATGGTGAACAAAAACATAAATCTCATTATATAAAGCGAGGGAGTGTACTCGATATATTGTTTGTTTAAAATAGCATTTCTGTCTTGCCTTACCGACCAACTTGACAATGCTGGCCAGTGGACCCACAGAACAAAGTTTACACAGCCACAGACATCCGTACACTCCCCCAAGTTGAATGAGGAGAGCTTTAGACAATGCGTGTCTTGTCGCTTGACAGAAGCGGTTGAATCTCGAATGCATGTGCAGTGCGAGCTGATTGCGTGTTCACAAACCGTTGGCATGTGTTTGGCTTGCGAAACGGATAGCCAAACAGCCGCACTGCTGTTCCCGATCAGTGAAGCCGCGCCTACCTCACCATGGCTGCCCCATCCTTGACTGCGAAGCTTCTGGTCGCGAAATTGGCTAAGCAGCCTTTGCTGAGTTTTGTGCTTTTTGGCGTGGAGCAAGATGTTCCTAAACTTGAGCGCTGAGGCTTCTCTCCGAATTTGTTGGCACGTTCCTTTTGGTGCTGACAGTCGGATGTAATGTCTTGGGCAGCAATGCAACGTGGGGAGGCGTGTCAATCGCCTTTGTTCTTATGGTCTCCATCTACGCAATGGGAGCTATATCAGGAGCCAATTTCAACCCCGCTGTGTCGGTGACCCTTGGCATCTCCAAGTCTATGGGAGGGCCAGGTCTCGATTGGGCGACCGTGGGGCAGTACGCTATTGTCCAGACACTTGTCCGAACATGTCCAGACACTTGCTTCTTTTGTCCGTGCATTTGTCAGTAATCAGTGTGCCACATGTGCAGCATGTGCACACCATTAGCACAGAGATAGGCCCTTCGAGTTGAGGTCAGGAGCTGGCATTTCAGCCGCCATTTGCTACTGCTTGATGTTCGGCCGCAGCTTCAACCTGACGCCATCTGATGGATTTGGATGGCTTAACGCCGGATTGTGTGAGACGCTCTACACGCAGCTCGCTTTTGGCTAGTCTTGCAAGTGCTGATTGTATTGCACATGTTGAGATATTGGAGACCTTGCCTGTTTTTGCTTTTGATTTTGTTTCAGGTTTGTGCTGTGCTTCGTTGTCCTCAATGTTGCCGCAGCGCGCAAGAATGCGACAGAGCACAATGAGTACTATGGCATGGCCATTGGGTTGGTCATCGTTGCAGGAGCCTATGGCGCGGGAGCCGTGTCTGGAGGCTGCTTCAATCCCGCAGTGGCTCTCGGAATCGATGTGTCGAGTGCAGCCCGTGGATTTGGCTGGTGTGTTCCTTATGTTCTCTTCGAAGTTGCTGGGGCAGCGGCAGCTGCTGCTCTTTTCAAAGTTGTACGTCCTGAAGACTTCTCTGGTGAACGGACCGCCAGAGCAGAACTTGTGTCGGAGTTTCTGGGTACCTTCGTGCTTGTCCTGACTGTTGGGTTAAACGTGCTTGCCAAGTCTAAAGCCGGGGCTCTCTCCATCGCCGCAGCTTTGACATCCATGATTTATGCCGTCGGAGACGTGTCTGGAGCACACTTCAATCCAGCTGTGACTCTGGCAATCTTTGCATCAGGAAGATGCGCGCAGTTGACCCCGGGAAAGGCAGGTATGTACGTTCTGGCTCAAATGCTTGGCGGCGCGACTGCAGCTGCCATGTACTCATTCATCTATGTTGGGCAGTCCTTTCCCTTGGGCCCAGTCGCTGGCAGCACATGGACTCAAGTCACTATTGCAGAGATAGTGTTCACGTTCCTGCTGAGCTTCGTGGTTCTCTGCGTCGCTGTCTCGCCACGCACGAAGTCTTCGCACATGTTCGGCCTTCTGATTGGCTCCTGCGTCACTGTTGGAGGCTTTGCGATTGGAGGCATTTCTGGTGGCTCCTTGAATCCGGCAGTCTCTGTCGGAATTGCATCTGCCAATCTCCTCAACGGTGGACTTTTCTACACGGCCTTGATTTATTCTGCGCTGGAGCTCGCGGGAGGAGCTGCTGCTGCCGGACTCTTTAAGATCACCCATGACATTGATGTCGACGCGGCAGAGAAGGAGAAGCTGGTTGCATGAAGTCATCATGGAGTAGCCATCAAACATCATCAAACCATTCATGCGATGCTCACAGCCTCCGAAGATGGACACAAAAAAGTGCAGAGCAGCGCCAGCATCGCGCAGCGTTCCGGAACTTGCGCAGTGCAATCAAGGCAAATGAAATTTCAAGGCAGGTGCAAGGTGGAAGGTTGAAGGCATTCTGTTTGTATGAGCTGCTATATGGCTCCAGAGCTTCGTCCTGTGTGCGTGCCGGCGTGAAGGACGGTTATGGGCAAATCATGTTGAGCCACTCTTCAGCCTAGTCATCCCGTCATCTGCGGAAAAGGACACCAAGTAAAGATGGCAAGTTTGCGCGGTGCTCTGCGCAGCGCACTGCCTCTCGCGGAGCGTGCTAGGTCCTCGGCTTTTGAGCCTCAAGAAGCCCCTCACGGTTCATATGCCTTGAAAGATCTTGAAAGGCAATGAGGCCGACAGCTTCTTCACAGCTAGTCAGGAACTTCGCAACTACGAAGCTTGTCTGTGCCAGAGGTGTGCAGAGTGGTGAACTGTTGCGGTGCAGTGCAGGATGTTTTGTGCATCGCTCTTTGCATTACTTAGGAAAGCTGCTTCCCCGGAAACTCCGCTCATGCACTACAAAGCGACGCAGCAGGTCTGACACGTTCTCTCTACCAGAACTTGAAATGCTTCCTATGAGCACATTGAAGGCCACGAGTTCGATCAATCACCGAATCTTCTACGTGAATGTCGTGCCTTGGCGTGGTTGATGCACACAAAGCTTGGCATGTGAAGAATGAGTCGAGAGGGTCTCAGACCACTGGAGGTGGCCATGGTGCTTGTGTACGACCTTGGGTCATCAATGCTGGATTTCTGAGGATTGTAGAGTGTTTTTGATTAATCAGCACATGTGACGGATGTTCATGTGTGGGCGCTGCGGACAAATGCGGATGTCGACCTCTTCAAAGCATACGCTCATCCAGGAAGAACTCTGCAAACGGTCAACAGTCACAGGACAAATCAGGAGGGCGCTTATTCTCCGCAGTTTGGCTCTTTAAGCTTTTTTATTGTTCCACGCTCCTTCCCGGTTTTAACCAGGTTTCATGAGGTTTCATCTACAAGTCTCGCAGCACCAACTCCAACTTTGTTTATATCCTTTGGACCCTTGTGCAAATTACAACTGTTACAACAGGATTTTTAGTCGCGAGTACCGTGCCCGGTGCAAGCTCCAGGCCAAGGCCCGGGTCAATTGAGTTAGTGCGATTTGAGGGGGGTTTAGGTTTTAGGGTTTTTTGGGTTTAGGGTTTAGGGTTTAGGTTTAGGGACTTCACATGTATGTCGTGTGTCGTCTCCAGCGCTCCAGGTAGGCGGCAGCAATTTTGGCTCCAAGCCGTCGTAGCCATGCCTCGCCTGGTGGTGTCTTCCATGGCGGCCGCGGCCATGCTGGCGGCCGGGGCAGCCTTCGTTGCGGCGCCCGCAAGAGCACCGGTGGTGCCGAACAAGTGCGGCCTCCAGATTCTGAGAGAATTGAGCGATTTCGAGAGATCTTGCCCAGAATTCAGCTCTCGCGCAGAGGCCGACCCCATCGGGAATGCCGGGATCTGCATCAGAACCTGCTGGATGGGGCTTGGCAGCGGCAGGCATCAGCGCCTGCCAGAGTCCTGTCAGCGTGTCGGCACTGCCCGTACCTCTGCAGTTGCTTTCGGATGCGAGGCCTGGCGCTTGGTGCACATGTGGGCTTGGCAGCAGCCTGGCGTGCAAGATCTTCCACAGCAGCTCGAGCAGAGAAAGAGGGCGCCCGGACCTCATTCCAGTGGTGGCAATAGTCGGCAAGGAGTGACGTCTTTTGACTGTTGACTTGAGTATGCTGATTATGCTGTTATCTGCTATCTAAATTCCGCAGGGCAAGTACGTCGAGACGGTCGCCGACCAGAGGCTGTTCGAGCAGGCTAGATGCTAGGACCCTCTACAGTGACTCTACAGGTATTGGACGTCATCAGCAGGTCAGCAAGCTTGCGCAAGTCTTGTCTCCAGAGGTCTACCTGCAGTACACGTCGGAGTACCTAAAGGGCCCGCTCTACTGGCACCCTGACAAGGCGCAGCTCAGCCGCACGTGGCCGCACTATCGCAATCTGTCGCATGTCCGATGTGTTGTCAGGCTCCGGCTGTTTTCTCTCCTCTTTCTGAGGCAGGGCTGGCTGCCGGACTACCCTGGCACGCCCATGATCAAGGAGGGCAAGTACACCTCCCACGTCATCGGAAACCTGAAGGCTTCCATATTTCGTGCTGCTTTGGATTGTACGAGCAGCGGCAGTGCAACAGTGGCACCTTGCCCGGCTGTACTTCAGGCTTTCAGCTCCAACGAGCTTGCATTCCTGTCCATGCTATTCTTTGGAGTCGGCCTCTATGGCAATCTGCAGTCACTTGGCAGACGTGAGAAGCCAGCCGTGAGGAAAGCAGGGTTCAAGTCTTCTGGGCCCTTTGTCGCCGCTTGTCCACCAGACAGCGCAGCTCTGCTTGGGGGGGATTGGCGGGGCCGCGAGACAACAAGTTGAAAATGGTCACCTTGTCTTGTATGTTGCACTCTTCCTCCTCATCATCGTTCATGTCCAAGCTGCAACGGTTGCTATGCACCATGCAGGTTCGCTGTTACCTTTGGCCCTCAGTCCCCAACGCCGCCCTTCCTGACATAACCTTTGCTTTGGGTTTTCGAGCCCAAAGGGTTTGGAAGTGTCTCTGGCCCACTGACCGATCTGGGATTTTCTGAAGGACTGGTGGAAGGGGAGCTCTCAAGTTGAAAAGAGATTCCCCTGCTGGTTTTTGCACACACACCGAGCTACTACAAGGATGAACCTTCTTCGCGTGGATTCGGGTTTTGCGGTCTGGTGTACTGCGTCGGCTGCTATGTCGGGCACTGTTTCCTATGTCAGCTCTTCATGTACTGTGTCAGGCACAGTCAGGTCTGTTTGTTTTTTGGGTATCTTGCCGTGCTTCAGTTCAGGTTCAACTTCTACGATCCGCAGTGGGCAAAGGTGGACGCGGGTGGCTTCTTCAATGTCTCCTACATTGTGGAGTCCTTCTTGCTCCCAATCTCCTTCTTTATGCACATTGCATGCTACATTCAGAGGCAGAACGGCAAGTGATAGTCTGTGGATTGCAGATAGGAAGCAAAGCGCGGAGCCTTATTTTTAAGCCTTCAAAGGAGGTGGCTGGCCTTGCCTGGCTGCGCACAAAAAGGATGCAAAGATGTTGGACAATGCATGGTTGTCAGCACCAACGCATCAAGATCAAATCATTGTGCCATTGGCCGAGCACGCCAGAGACAGTCGCAAGTTCAGTCCTCGAACTGCAGGCTGGCGATGGCCGTGCTGGAGCCTGCAAGGAGTTGCCAGCTTTAGGCTCAATCGCAGTGTTGCCAAGAGTTGCCAGGATCTGCGGGCACGTCCAGCCAAAGGGGGCAGCCTTGCAGACCGTGCAGGCCGGCCATCATCGCTAGGTAGAAAGGCACCCACGTTTAATTACCTTAGTTCGATGTTTGTTGCAAGATCACGGTGATTTTTTGGACGATCGACTGTGGGAGGTTCGACATCAACGACACAGCCGGGCATGCTCTGAGCGCTCGCGGAGGCAGAGCCCCGACCATTCCGCTCGGAGCTGGTGACTTGAACCTTGAACCATAACGGACGGGTTGAGCCATTTGCAGGCCTTTGTGCGTGACGTCCCTGGCCGCGGGTGTGCTGGCGCGCCGCTTTAACATCACTGGCAGCAGCACTTGTTCTACAACATCCAATGGTTCCGCAGGCCTGGAAGCACCAACGCCGCGAATGCGACTGGCTTAGCTGATTGTTTCCAACATATCGTTTCTGCCTGCTGTTGTCATGCTGACTTTTGCTGCTTCAGATCGTTTAGCTATGAACAAGTCGCCAAGCCCTGAACAAACAAAGCAAGCGGAGGCTTGTCTATTCAACCTGCTGCGCAGAGATGCATAACTGCTGTTACCTAGTTTCGGATTTCCGGTTCACATGAGCCCTCCCGCGTGCGAAAAGGTCCCATGTGTGAGTTTGTTGCTCAGTCGGTGTGAACCGTAAGGCTTGCGAGTACCAGCAGCGGAGGCAGCAAAGCCAAAGCGCCACTGCATACAAGCAGAAAAACCTACACAGCACAGGTGAGGTTCGAAGAACATTCATGCCAGACTACTTGGAAGGACAACATCTCCACGAAAATTGAGCACACGCTGTCTTAGCAGGACGGATGTCAAGACCTGTCAAGTTGAGGTCGACAGTCCATGCCAATCGTTCTAACATGAATGTCGCTGACAGCTGATCAAGCCTAAACTGTTTACCTAAGGGCTCCCACTCCGTGTCCTTTTGCAATTCTGCTACGTACTGCTGCTGTTACGCTGTTCCCAACCTCTGCATGTGCTGCATGCCCTGGATACGGCCGGAGCACCAGTAGCGAGCTACAATGAGCCACAGCTGCGTTCGCTTCTCTAAAGATATACCATATGATGCTTCCCCTTCGAGGAAGTCAAGCCAAACTAAAAAATGTCAGCTTCACATACAGCCCGCCTAGAAAGCTGAAGTTTCAGGTCGGTTGGCACGACGGTCCTCAGAGGCTGGCTCCTGTCTTTACAGATAATGCCGTTCCAGTTTGCGTGTGTTTCAGGTGGTGCAGCAGTCTGCGGCGCTGTTTGTACGCAACTTCGGTTCTGAGTTCTGAAGATAATGGCCTGCACATCGGCGAAATAGTTCTGTGTTCCCTAGGACATCGAGCCAGAGACACCGGAGGGTTGGTCGTCCAAGATGGTCATGCTACTCCCGTTTGCATTTCAGTACACCACTGTACGCTTGTGCTGCTGAATCTTGCCAGTTGGCAGGGCATTGTTCCGCCAGATGACATCCGGCGAAGGATCAGATTGACGCGCGGCATGCTGGAGAGAGACATCTTGGGTGTGGCGCCTCAGTTCCTGGTGAATGCAGATGGTGACGGGCAGTTCGCAAGTCTATCCTTGCCGTTACAGCCTACCTTGGCGACACGGTCTGGGAGTATCTGGTTCTTCGGCATCAGTATCAGCAGGCGGGCCAACTTTTCATGCTGGAGAAATGAAGAAGCGCTCGTGCATCCACCAGCGGAGGTGGTACGGAGTCCATTTACAGAGAGTCAGGAGGTTCGGGATTACATCCCCAAGCTTTGGGTGTTATGCGCTCTCCTGCCTTCCAACAAAAGGTACGTACGATCCGACAGGGTAGAGCTGCTGTCATGCTTCATCGAAGTGGGCCTGGTGACCTGGTGTCACTCACCGGTCAGCTGGTTCGTGAGCTGCTGCCAGCTCAGGATTCTTAGTGGTCGGGAACGTGAAGTACTTCTCGAAGGTGCTCAGAAGGTATGGCTCCAAAAGGCGTGGCTTGCTGTACTTTGTGCAAAGACTGCTGGGCAGGGGGCATACTGTCATGCAGCATGTCGGTCGTGCCAGGTGAGGTGGAATTTTGAAGGCATCCGGCAAGTCGGTATCAACATGTGCGCGTCTGCTGCGAAGCTGATTTCGGTAGACTTTCAACACCTTGTGCATATTTGCAGGTACTGCTGTGCGCTGGGTCTCCGGACTCTTCTGGGCTACGCCTACATGGATGCAGCGTCTTCGGACAAAGACTTGACGAGAATCATCACTGAGGCCTCAAGGTGAATCATGGTGAGTCTTACCAAGAACATCTAAGAACCCCGACCAGAACCTCAGAAGCACAATGTCCTTGTTCAACGACTCAACGACTGCTTCAGATTGGACTTCTGCAGAAGCCCGGGATTGAAGACCAAATGCTGTCAGAAATCACAGCAGGAGCCCCCTTTTGTGCTTGGAATCCCTCTTGGTCACTTGGATCGCTTTTGTTTAGCTGCTTAGCTCAATGTTGTGGTCATGAGTCATGAGGAGTCTTCGACCCTTCCCTGCGTCCTCCTGGCGACTACTTCTTGGTGCTTCCATGGGTTAAACTGATAGAGAAGCATCGAGAACCATTGACCAGTTGCTTGTTCTGAGCTTTGAAGCCATGTGGCTAGCATCTTCCAAATCTCTCACAGCCGCTGTCCTTGCAGGCGCTGGCTCCGCTGGGTCATGCGGCACTTCGCCTTTACGTTAGTCGTTACCTCTGTGAGAGGCGGCCCTGAACTCGCCCAGATCTCTTCGCATCACGCCAAGCGTTCGCCACGCGTTCGCCACGCGTTCGCCACGCGTTCGCCACGCGTTCGCCACGAGTTCGCCACGTGTTCGCCACGCGTTCGCCAAGCGTTCGCCAAGCGTTGGCAGGCCACTGGTGGCAAGCGAGTTCATTTACCGTGTCAAGCTTGCGCTGATGCCTCAGCCACGTTAGCGTTTCAGTTTTGAAGTTTTGCATGTTTGAGGTAAAGCTCAAGAACTGTGTCTGATAGGTCTGAAAAAACAGAAAGGCAGCATGTGCATGTTGAAGGCTTCGACAAGACGAGCTGGATGCAGCGTCAGTGCAGCTCCTGTATCGTGTGCAGTGTACTTCTTGCGGGCGGTGTGCTTTACATCTTCCATCACTTGACTGATTCTCGCAGATTGCCTTCCTTCGTGACAGTGCTACTGCAGAAGAGGCGAGATTGATGCAGGCCACACTGAACACCTGCAAACTCCGTTTTTGTTTCGCTCTACTGCTGCCGCTCAAGTTCGTCCCACGCTTCCTATGACAGGGGGCTCGAGAGAAGGGTGACAGCTACGCCTTTGCCTTTGAGTGCTTACTCGGCCACCTTGCGCTGAAGCTGCCGTGCGCATGACTGTCGTTTAATTGAGATGTGCGTGTAACAGATTTTCTATTGTGCTCTGCAATATTCAACGCCTTCATGCACCTGTTGGCCAGGTACCGCCTGCATCAAATCGTATCTGAGTTCGGCTGGGCACAACCGCTGGAAGGGACTTAGTGGTCCTGAACTCATCCTTTTTCTAATTTCCAAATTGGTGTAACGAGCCGAACTAGTCCTAGGGCCTCTACAGTGGTTCCCAAAGGGCATTTGGGAAAGAGGCTACTTGGTACGAAGAGTCGCAAAGTGTACCTCACGAGGTCCTCCAGCCAAGCTAGCTACTGTTTGTTGCTGCCTGATTTGGCAGTTTCATGCAGTTTCGCTCTGCTCACATTGGCGGGCTTGGAAAGGGCCAAAGAGTTGACGCTGGAGCCGAATTAGCAGTACGACTCAGTACGACGTGTGCACCTTTCGTTGCTACTTCTGTGCCATCTGTTGCTCTGTTGCTCTGTTGCGCACATCTGTGCTGACTGATTGCGGATCTTCCTCGGCTTTAGTGACTCTGCTGTGTCTGTTGTATCATGTAGATGTCTTCTGCCGATGGTCGCTGCATTAAAGGGTTTATCATCAGAGTGCCAGGCATGCACTTGCCAGGAGTTTGTGAAGGTGCAGTGCACCCTGCTATTTCATGTTTTTTTGTAATAATTTCAATTAAGTGTAGCTCAGGATTCCCCGATCCGCTGGTTGTATGGTCCCCTGTGGTCTCCTCTTGCGTCCGGTTTTGTGGTGCTCTGGTTGCGCCCTCGTCCTTGCGGACGGCGCGGGTGCGCCCGCGCCAACTCCCACTTGTTGTAAGAGTAGTACGAGAGGGGCCTCTGGACACACATGCTGTTTTGAAGCTGTGTTTGCAAGTAGGTGGGGCTAGCTCGCTCATCCCGGGATCATTCTGTTTGCAAGGGACTGCCAGATGGATCATTCTGTTTGCAAATGGGGGGGTTGCGACCAGCCGTGCATTCTTGGCTCCAAGTCAAAGCCGAGCTGAAGCACGAAGGAGATGCCTCCCCTCAACCCCCCCCCACCCCCCCCCGCTGAAGCCGTTCCAATGTTCAGCCTGCACCTCTTTTTTAAAGCCAGAAGGCGGGAGCTCGATGTGCACCAAGGAATGTGAAGGGGGTCGGACGATGCCCATACCTTGTATGTTACGATGAAAACCGTACCCCCGAAACCTGCAAGCAAACGAACGTCGCACCTAGGTGCCAGCACAAGTATCGCGTTATTGACAAGGACAAGGACTCATGCCACGTGTGAGCACCTTCTGGCAAAACACCACGAAAGTCCTCCAACAATAGCTGGATTTCTCTAATCGACTGTTTCCACTACTTTTTGGCAGCAAGACGCGCTCATCAGTAGGGCGCGTGCAGTTTCATGTGATGCTGGCCTAGAGCAGCCCTACATCAAGGTCGGCGACTTACACGAAGATCTTGCACAACAATCGAGCTGAGAATTAGGGGCTGCCCAGTTGCGCGAGATTACGCTGCCTGCCAATCGCAGCTGCAGTGGCTCCCACAAGCCGTCGTAGCCATGCCTCGCCTGGTGGTGTCTTCCATGGCGGCCGCGGCCATGCTGGCGGCCGGGGCAGCCTTCGTTGCGGCGCCCGCAAGAGCACCGGTGGTGCCGAACAAGTGCGGCCTCCAGATTCTGAGAGAATTGAGCGATTTCGAGAGATCTTGCCCAGAATTCAGTTGTTGCTGACGTGGAAGCTTTCTCGCGCAGAGGCCGACCCCATCGGGAATGCCGGGATCTGCATCAGAACCTGCCGGATGGGGCTTGGCAGCGGCAGGCATCAGCGCCTACCAGAGTCCTGCGTGTCGGCACTGCCCGTACCTCTGCAGTTGCTTTCGGATGCGAGGCCTGGCGCTTGGTGCACATGTGGGCTTGGCAGCAGCCTGGCGTGCAAGATCTTCCACAGCAGCTCGAGCAGAGAAAGAGGGCGCCCGGACCTCATTCCACACCGACTCCTTCCTTGTGAGGTCTTTTGACTGTTGACTTGAGTATGCTGATTATGCTGTTCTCTGCTATCTAAATTTCGCAGGGCAAGTACGTCGAGACGGTCGCCGACCAGAGGCTGTTCGAGCAGGCTAGATGCTAGGATCCGCTACAGGTATTGGACGTCACTGGCAGGTCAGCAAGCTTGCGCAAGTCTTGTCTCCAGAGGTCTACCTGCAGTACACGTCGGAGTACCTAAAGGGCCCGCTCTACTGGCACCCTGACAAGGCGCAGCTCAGCCGCACGTGGCCGCACTATCGCAATCTGTCGCATGTCCGATGTGTTGTCAGGCTCCGGTTGTTTTCTCTCCTCTTTCTGAGGCAGGGCTGGCTGCCGGACTACCCTGGCACGCCCATGATCAAGGAGGGCAAGTACACCTCCCACGTCATCGGAAACCTGAAGGCTGGGCTGGAGTATGCCATTTGCAATCGTTTGCTATGTGGGAAGATGAGACACAAACAGGCCTTCAGCTCCAACGAGCTCGCCTTTCTGTCCATGCTGTTCTTTGGGGTCGGCCTCTATGGCAACCTCCAGTGCCTGAGCTTAATTTAGTGTTCACGCCTGGCGCTGAAAAGGGCATGTGCAAAGCTGAGTTTGGTGTGTTTGCTTAGCTTCTTGTCTTGAGCTTGTCGAAGAAGGTGTTCTGTAAATAGTCCCCATCCAGGGCCCTAGGTCCCCATCCAGGGCCCTAGGCCCCTCAATCGGCGCCTGGCCCGAAAGACTACACTGAATTACAGTGAAGCACCTCGAAAGAGACCAGGAGGACCCGCGAAGAGGTCCGGACATTTAAAGTTAATTTCCGTCGCACCATCGTATTTGCCAAGTGTCAGTGGTGCATTCCTGGAACAGACATGACAAGGTCCTCCTCAGTTACTAAGTCCAATCGCGCAGATTCGGGTTTTGCGGTCTGGTGTACTGCGTCGGTTGCTATGTCGGGTACTGTTTCCTTTTTGGGTATCTTGCCGTGCTTCAGTTCAGGTTCAACTTCTACGATCCGCAGTGGGCAAAGGTAGACGCGGGTGGCTTCTTCAATGTCTCCTACATTGTGGAGTCCTTCTTGCTCCCAATATCCTTCTTTATGCACATTGCATGCTACATTCAGAGGCAGAACGGCAAGTGATAGTCTGTGGATTGCAGATAGGAAGCAAAGCGCGGAGCCTTATTTTTAAGCCTTCAAAGGAGGTGGCTGGCCTTGCCTGGCTGCGAACAAAAAGGAAGATGTTGGACAATGCATGGTTGTCATCACCAACGCATCAAGATCAGATCATTGTGCCCTTTGGCCGAGCACGCCAGAGACAGTCGCAAGTGTTCAGTCTTGACCGTCTGTGCTCGAACTGCAGGCTGGCGATGGCCATGCTGGAGCCTGCAAGGAGTTACCAGCTTGAAGCTAAATCGCAAGGTTTGCCAAGAGTTGCCAGGATCTGCGGGCACGTCCAGCCAAAGGGGGCTACCTTGCAGACCGTGCAGGCCGGCCATCATCGCTAGGTAGAAAGGCACCCACGGATCACCCTGATTTTTTGACGATCGACGAGTTGCCTTCGATCTCTTGCGCTGTGGGAGGTTCGACATCAACGACACTGCCGGGCATGCTCTGAGTGCTCACGGAGGCAGAGCTCCGACCATTCGGCTTGGAGTCGGTGAAGTCAGCAGATGTCGAGGCAACTGTCTCCACACTTGAACGGCTTTATCGACCGAGAGCATGACTTCTGGCGTGCGCCGTTGCTGCCACAAACTGTTGCAGCATTTTGGCCGGACCCTACCTCAGCATGCAGTCTGTCTTTGGTTTTGTTCGTCTTCGTCTTCCTGCCCAAGAAGGTGTCGTTTAGGTGAGAGAGTCATCTGCCAAGCTGTTGTGAAAGAAGCTGACCACATGAGGAAGAGTGGGTCGTAAGGCCGCAGACCCTTAACTCTCCCAACCTCCCAACCGAGATGGCCCGCATAATCGCCAGCCTTGACCTTGCCAACCTTCAGCCTTAGATAGCAAAGGGAAGTCATGGCAGTTCCCCCAAATGTCCAAGGAGGTTCAGCTCTCGCGACGTGGACGCTGGTACCGGCGCGGCCCTGCGAAGCCTGGGGGCTGCACGCCGCTGGGCTGGTGCTCCCGGCATGATCGAAAAGCCTAGGAGGGCTGAGAAATCAGGTCAAAGCTGCAGCGCGACTCAGGGGATCCGTAGATCCCACAGTTTCTTTGTATTCCCCGGTGAACATCTCTGCTCTGAGCATGTCGCATTGATGACTGGGCAAGGCGTCTGTCGGTCTGGCCTCACATTCCTTATCCGATGCTGGTACAAGCATGCGAAGCATTGTCGGTCTCTGTTCCCAAAGCTCCATCTGCCTTGAGTGTGGCATGGACTTTCCCTGCATTTGCCGGGAAGCTTCCTCATGTTGCAGCGGTGCCCTCCATGCGGCAGCATCTCACGGTTTGAGGGTTCGAATTTCTAAGCATCGGCACTCAATGACGGCGGCTGCGTTGACGCAGCTCGGCTATCTAACATCTCTGAAGCCAGAGAACGCAGCAGTCATGCAAGCTTGGGCGCACGGGATATCTGTTGGGACAGTAAATAGCAGGAAACGTGTTGAAGAGGGTGGGGAAACTCTGACCACAGCAGGTAGAAAGGGGTTCATCGGGGGTGCAGGGCCGAACGGGGGGGCTGCAGGGAGAGGTGTCGAGGCGAATTTGTCGCGCTGAGAGCTAGAGAGTCCTGAGACTTGGCAGATGCGCTGGCGCTGCTTGCAAGCACTCTCCCCAAGTCTGGTGCCCCAGCTGCTTGGCAAAAGAGCTCGGCAGGTTCGGTGTTTAGTACAAAGATGTAGCCACATTGATGTTCCGATGGTGGCAAAGTGTGTCTGCCTGGCTTAGGATGCAGTGCTTTTTGGCCATGCCATGAGTGCAATGTCAGGGGCCAAACAGCATCTCGGCTGAAACTCTAGACTTTAGACCAACGATGCCTTAATATACAATTTATAGGTTGGTATGGCCAGGTTTTTTCAGCTGCCATGTGTTGCCAGGTTGCGGTGCTCACGTGACATGGGGAAGTCATATTGGAGAGACCCTGTGGGCCTGCCGCAAGGTGGCAACGCACACTAGTACTTCTGGAAGAGATGCGAAACATGCTCCCTGGCTTTTCCGGCACTTCTCGAAGAAAGGGTGCTTGAATGCGTGATTGCAGTTGGCTTGATTCTTTGGATTGGAGTGCATCTTGGAATCGGTAAGGTTTTTGGGATTCTGATCCGTATAGGAGGTACCGTGTCTTTGTAGGGGAAGCGGGAGGCTAGAATATCAGGGAGCAGCCGCCCCGAAACACAAACTTCAAGAAAGACTGAGGAGAACCTCAGGTATTCCTCGGTCACAGGCTCAACCCAGTAGACACCCACTCACGATCACCTACGGTTGAAAGAGTGGGGCAGCCCGCCGAGGCAGATCCACCTGAACGAGACCATCTTCTCGATTGCGCTTGTGGCATGCGACCGTGGCAGCCGTTGGCGCCAGGCCCTGCAACTGCTGGAGGAGTTCGACAAAGGACCGTGTTGAAATTTCGGAAGCTTCGGAATGTGGCAAACAGTGGCAAATATGTTCTGACTCTGGCGCCGCTTGCTCTTGCTCAGCTGGCTTCGAGGAGCGCGGCATGCAGACAGCACGGCGTACTGCAGTTCCGCGAGTGCTTGTGCCAAAGCCTCTCAGTGGCCCCTTGCAGTGGCGCTGTTTGCCCAGGCCTGGCCCAACCCCAAATTTCTTCAGGGGAACACGAGTTCTTCTTCATGGCTTCCTAGTCTGGACGCTCAGCCTCAAAGCAACCGATGAGCATTTGGGACTCCCATGCTTCTCTGGTAAACCATCCGCAAAGCAGTGAGCTTTGTGCAGCCACCTTAGACACATGTCAAACGTCCCCGCAAGTCATTCATCAGAGAAATAGCGCTGCTGGAGCCTGATGCTATACTGCGGGCGACTTGAACGCTTCGTCACCGCACTGTGCTGTGTCAACACGGGAGCGTTTTATGTCGCTTTATGTTGCTTTTCTGAATGTAAAGCCGTCTGCTTCAACATCCTGTGAGGCCGCCTCGGCCCCACTCCTCTAAAGAAAGGGGCTTCCAGAATTTGCCTCCTCTCAGACGGGCAACTAGGAAGGAAACGGGTATGAGACACGAGGAGCTGTCGGAGGCTAGGGTAGGCCTTAGGCCTTGGACGACAGGCTGTCAGAAGGTAGGAGGCCTTGGAAGCAGGGGCATGAGGCGGACCAGGAGGATGACTTGGAGATGAGCACTCGAGAGGAGAGCCTCAACAAAACTCATCAGGCTCTTTTGCGCGAGCTCCTCTGATCGTGTATGGAAACTTTGGAATTTATCCGAACTTACCTTTGAGCTTTGTTCCTCTTGTGCAGAGCCGTAGGCGTCGGTAGGCAGTGTGCTGTAACTCGCAAACAGTCACCAACATGTGTGGCTATCCCTTTCTGAGCAGCGCTGCAGGTGCATGTCCTGCCAGATTTGGCGAGCAACCTGCATGCATCGAGTCAATTTTGTCAGCTTCGCTCTGCGATGGTCTTGTCTTCGTCTCAGTTGTGGCAAGATTGTGTAAGGCCACAATGCTGCAATGGCTGCTGCCGGACGGGGCGACGGGTTTGAACTGCATGGGAACGGGTGCAAAACAGTCAGTTTGCGAGGAAGGGGGCAGCTGTGGCAAGGTGTGCTTCAGCTTCTGAAGGCCTTGCATGGGAGCATGTCAGACATGGAACTCTGTGAGGTGTTTCGCATGCTCTCCAGCTTGAGAAGGTAATGCCGTCCAAAGTCCAACCGAACCTCATCTCCTTCAACACCGCGATGGCTGGGCAGCACTGCAATACCAAGCATAGGCAGAACACTGAGCTCGCCAGGCAGCATGTGAGCGAGCAGGGCAGTGGAATTACGTGGTGGCGCTCCTGGAAGAACTGGGCAGAAAGAAGCTGTCGCCTGACATACGCTCTTGGACTTCCCTGGTGCGATCCCCAGATATGTCAGATATGTGAGAATAGCGCTCTTGGGGTGCACTCCGGGTTTGTTTTGTGCGTAGAGGGAAATGTCGGGATGGTGGGGCAAGGCGGGGCATGCCTTTGTCGTGCTTTGCGGAGGTTGCAAGCTTCTCTCGGGCGAGCCATTGGATGCAGGCTCAGAGGATGTTGAGAGATCTGCGCCAGAGGCTTACATGTCCAGCATCCGGGATGTGTTGCATGCATCGTAGTTTGCAATGCCTGTGTAGGCGTGTAGGACATAGGCAACCTTGTATCTTCATACTTAGCCGGAGAGGAGAATCAGGGGCAAAGATGTGACTCTCTAGCTGTGTTGGCCCACGGTACTCGAGGCAAGTTGCCATTTTTCCCGTCTGATTGTTTCTGCTGATTCCAACCTTGGTCCCAATCCTTTGCGTTCGCGGGCTTGTAGACTGTAGGCATGCACGAAGGATGCTTCTGGTTTGGCTGAGGGTGGCTACACTGGCAAGGAAACGCCAAATACGAAGACAGATGGATGTGTAGAGGTCGGACGGTACAAGAGAAACAGCCAGCTGTTATCCGGAGAGTCCGCACGCTCGCATCAGTTGTGTCTGTGTAGTTTTCCTGTTTTTCCTTGCTTAGGCATCCAAGAGCTGCAGCCAGATTTGGTGATGTACGGCGCTGCTGCCAGTGTTGCTCTTCTCAAGTGCAGCATTTGCACCATGGCATTGCTGTTACTCTGCAAAATCAGTCGACTTCCTAGGCTTTCCAACGCGGACATCAGTGGAAACTTGCTTTGGCCCTCTTGCCTCAGTTGCGCCGCTCCCAGTCATTTACGTGAGAGTGCAGATGGGTAGGATCCAGCTGTGCCGCAGGCATGAGCTTCGAATTGTTCTGGATGAACGACTGTGTGGTTCAGTCATTACGGCCTGTGCAATTTCACAAGCCTGGCAGGCGACCGTCCATCATGTACGAACCCGTTGGCGCTTTTGTTTGCTGTGCTGTGCTTGCGGCAGGCTGCAGTGTCCTGCCTCATGGAGCTTCCAAGAAGGCCCGTGCATGCAGTGGTTTCTCCTGTGTATTCTTCAGTCCGAGCTCAATTGCATGGGGAGAGCATGGGATGTTGCCAAGCACAAAGCATGCTGAGCGAACATCAGTTCACACCTTCAAGTGGCAAATGCACACTAAAAACCTAACCCGAGCCAAGTGACAGCAGTGTTGGTTGCAGGTGCTAAGGAAGGCGGGTTCTTTAGATGCACTGCGCAGGGAGCTGGAGCCCACCTCTACAAGCAGCTCGCCAGTCTTGACAGCGCTTCTGGACTGACTTGAGTTTAGCATCAAACAATGCCACTGGACATGTCCCATCAGCTTCTGGAGTTTTTTTCGCACTGGTGACAAGCTCTTACTTTGCCAGACAAAGAATCTCTCGATCTTTCCGTGCTGAGTGGTCGTCGAGTCGGGAAACCCAGGGTGTGCCTGCGCCAGAAAGCTAGTCTTCGATCGGAAGCACAAGTCGTTTTTTGTTGGCAATGTCTGGCCTGCATGTTTTCATAGTTGGAGCGTTTTCTGCTTTCTGACTCCTCGTCCATCCTCCTTGTCCATCCTCCTCGTTGTTTTCCAAACCATTTACCTTGTTGTGTGGAAGAAGTCCATTGCTGATTCTGGAAGGACGTGAAGCATTGGTTGATGGCATTGAAGCTCTTTGAGCATTTGCAGCATGCCGCAGGAAACTCAGCTGCCGAGCAGCTTTGGGAGTGTGCTCGTTGCCTTCGCTCATCTGCACCCTGCCACAGGTTGCTATGGACTCTCAAGCTTACGGTCGACTTCTCCTTGTGTTTCTGACTTATGATCTCTACTTCTGTTGGGTTTTCTGCGAAGCATTTGGCATGGCGCCGTTTGTCAGCCACCGGGACAACACACTGATCATTTTCTACTGATATGTTGCTCTCCGAGGTGCGAGCAAAATAATTTCAGGGAATGGCAGAACTGGCTGCTGCAGAGCATGGCCTCGCCTCGTGGTCCCGCTCGACATACACCTGGCAGAGAGAGTCTGAACCTCGAAAGCAGTGGTGCTCGTGCACGTTGCAACAGAACCTAAGCGTTCACCCAGAAGCCTTCATCACTGCGACAAATTACAACAAGGTCTTGCAGCAGCTGTTGCTGCGCACTGCAAGGGTCTCAGCGTGGGTTCCTTTGGCAAGCAACTGGTGTTGACAGCCTCGAAGAGCGCTTCACGGACTTCAAAGCGGACTCTGTCGCGAATTCCGTGGACTCAGTGGACTCCCTACGTCAAGGATTCTGGGCCAGGGTCTGCCCCGAAAGTTGCGGGCAACGAGCGCAAGGGCTCACGAAGTATGCTGACTCCGGCAGCAGAGGCGGTTTTGAGAATGCAGTGCGTTCTGCCATGCAGGAGATCCGGCTGATGGAGCATGTTTTTCTGAATGCGGAGTGCGGCAACCCCGCCTCTGTATGTGCAAACCTGAGGACAAAGGTTGTAGGAAGAACTTGTTTGCCTCAGCTGTAGGTTATGCGGACGTACTAATTGTGTGTCAGCATCTCTCTGTAAGGCCAGGAGGTGGAATGCTTTGGTCGTGACATCTTAGGCCTTGATCTCAGTTGGGTTGACGCGTGAGTGCCCGCATTGTTGTTCAGCGTGCAACATGGAGAAACAAGCCATGTCGAGCTGATCTGGCTCGGACAGTTGAGCCTAAGTTAGTGCCATCTCGCCATGTCGATGCAAGTTCTCGTCACTCCTCGCAATTCGCGATGGGTACCTTGGAAGATGGCAGTGCAATAAGGATGTGTCTTCGGTGAGCCGTGTTCATCGCGGCAAGTTTCCAGTAGCTAGCCTTGGTCTAACCTTCTGGGAGGCAGCTTTGAGAGGTCTCTCCAGCTCAGCTGTGGGATGCAAGTCAAACAACTTTTTAGCAAGCAAACCGTCTTTCATCGAAGCAATCGAAAGGCCGCATTTTGCAATCAAGAAGTTCCTTCCAAAGGAAGGGAAAGACATCGAAGGGAGGACCAAAAGGAAGCAAGGAGGAGGGAGGGAGGGAGGGCGGGAGGGAGGAAGCGATGGAGGTAGGGAGGAAGGACAAGTGAAGCAAATAGGAAGAAGGCAATGGAGGGAGCACCTGCGATTCAAAGGAAACGACATACCCGTCCTCGTCTTGCGGTTGTTCCAGGAACATGGTTGGAATGCTTTATGTCTTGTGGTGAAGCTGTTGGGAGGGTGTGCCAACGCGTTGACTCAGACGGCCACGGGAGCCGGCAATGCCAAGACCGAGCAGTCCCCACTATCTCTGGACGGTCCGCAGTGATGCGCGGTAGGCACAAGCGGATCGAGTTGATTCGACTGCTCGTTTCGTTTCGGTGCCGAATGTGTCGCAGTGATGGCATAATTGGCAGGTTGACGGGCATCAAATACACTGGTGAAGTGCTGTGGATCTTTAGCGAAGCTACATGGATTCTGTTGATTCCACAGGCTGGTCGGGCAAAGGGCAATGTTGCTTCTTTAAGAAGGATCTGTTGCAATTGTCATGGAATTGGTCGGGAAGGTTTGCATTCCAGCATCGTTTCTGGCCTTTGTCTTCATCTTGGCTGCTGCTACTCTGGACTGTCTGACTGGCCGGCTGGCAACATGGTTTCCTTCGGCGCTGCAGGTCTACGCGGTTTCTAAAGTTTGCCGCCATGTTTAGACTTGCGTAAGTCCAGCAAGCAGGCATTGTGGCTCTTCTGGAACTTTGTATGGATGTTGGACGAGGCATGGGCCCATGTATTGATTTGCAGCGGCGAATTTGGCAGCGGCAGACCAGCAGGTTTTCTGGGACGAGCCAGATCAGCAAACTCCCTGGGCGCTCACACCGATGTGCCTTCGTTTCGACAAGTGGAGGTTGACCCAAGTTATGCCCTTCAGTAGAAGCCACTGTTGCCTGCATGGCTGTGCTGTCAGACACACACACATAGAGACAGACACCATCAGAGACAGACAGACACGAGCCCAGACA